GCCTGACTCCTGATTTATGCCGTGTAAATTCCATCCCTTAAATTTAGCAAAGGTTTTCAAGTTGTACTGTGGCTTGGTCTTTAAGTTTTGATTTACCTCTCTGCCAGGAGAAACACATGCTGAAAGCTACCATATATTGTGAGTGAGTTATGGCCTCAAGTATGTGTCACTTACAGTTCATGCTGTGGTTTCTGTCTTCTCTTCATTCTTATTGTTGGTGGACCTGCATCCCCAGTGAATCAGGACAAACTCTTGTGTGGGGTGCGTAGCTCAGGAGTTGAAACAGTTCTTCATGGAGTGCTAGTTGGCAATGAGTCGCCCTGGAACATGCATTTACCAGCAGCCATTATTTAAAATGTCAGTGTAGGAATTAAACACTGTCTGCAAATAGCAATAGAGAGGACATTAATCTTCAAATTAAATGCCAATTAAAGTTTAAAATTAGCTTCGGAAAATGGACTTCTACTTTTCTTGCTGTCATTCTGGGCTTCAAAAAAACTTCCAAAACTTTCTAATTACAGTTTCAAAACTCTTAATAATAAATACAAACTTAAACTACCAGTGATACTGACTCTCCAACCACATTTACAAAATGTGTTTTTCCCCCACTGAGTCAGTCCAGAGTAAGCGCCAGTGATTAACAACTAACCACTTTTCAGGAACTCTTTTTTGAGTCCTAGACTTTTATGCTCTCGTTGGTCGTGGAGAAGTATGCATATCGTAAACAGATACTTTGATGAAGTTTCACTAACTGAACAAGCCCATGTGACCATCACCCAATCAGAAAAGAGAATACCAGCATCCCAGAAGCTGGCACTTCCCCTTCCTGGCACTGTCCCCTCACAGCCTACCCCTGCCCCCCAAGACTAGCTTCACCAATGTGTACTTTCTTACTTAGCATTTTATTTGTGAGATTCAATATATCACTCATTTCATTGCCTATAGTGTTTCACTGTATGACTCTCACACTATTTGTCCACCCTACTGTTCATGGGCATTTGCGTAGTCTCCATGCGGGAATTGTTAAGAATATCTTTTGGTAGAATCTTAGATTTTTCGTAAGACTTGGGCAGTGAAGTGGTCTTATGAGATTTTGATTAAGCCTCCTTCTGACGCCTTGACTGACCCTGTAAGTGACCTCTCTCTTTTCTGAATGCCAGGCTACTTGGTACATTTCCCTTTCCTCACGTCGCCTTTTGTATTCTACTCTGTTATAACGGCCGCCATCCCCTTTGAGTCTTGCTGTAACCTGAAAGGACTCAAAGAGTCAGGGATTGCTTGGCAGACCTTTCACTAAGAGTTTTTGCAACTGGATGTTCCCTATGCGCGGGTGCCGGGCACTGTCACAGTGCAGACCTGGTTTAGAAGGAGAATCTGAGATTTTACAGGCTCCGGAATGAGAAGAGCGACCCAGTTTTCTCCCAATTCTATTCCGCTCCCATCCTCGTAGGATAGAATGAGGCCCTTCATCTGATCTTATTAACCCATGGCCATGTCTCGTTTTGGCTTAAGTCTTGTGTCACCCACAGTTCCTATCTGAGGCCCACAAAATTCGGTAAGCCGCTGTTTGATCCATTAAACTAATCTGTCTTAGAATCTGGAGAAGAGAGATTAGGCGAAGTGCATCCTGTTGAACGGTTGTTTTTGTTTGTTACGTTTTATGATTTTGCAGGATTCGTTATTAGCTTATTAGTTTTCCTTTTAGTCGTTATCGGGGTTCTGTTTAATTATTAATACTATAGCTCATAAGTGCTACCTTATTTTATGCTCATTTCTTGATAGCTCTTATTTGTCCTACTAGACTGTAAGGCCTGTGAGAGCAGGGGCCACATCTTACTTGTGTTAGCACCTTCACTGCCTTAGGCGCCTAAGAAGTCTGAAGAAACAACAGGCTTGAGTGGCTTCACGACGGAAGGGCTTGCCCGGAACCTGAGCACCACTGAATTACATAGCCCTGAGCCCATCACCTTGTTCCTAAAGCATCTGATTGAAAAGTCTCCCCTCTTTCCTACAAGGATATTTTGAGATGAAACTGGGTCATACATAGTATTTTGAGCCTTCCAGAGATAGAATTACATAAAGCACTTTGCCTCTCAGCAGTTGAATAATTTAGTTAGATGACATCTTGTGCTGAAGTCCACTTTAATGTGAAGACTTTATTGCAAGCCTTTTAAAAAACATAATGAATAATTTAGCCTTTCTGGTGATTTCGATATGGTTTAAGAGACTGCAAATCAAGAATGTATCAGGGGACTAAGTTAATTACCTGTCTCTGCCACCAGTTGCTCTCTACTCATGACCCTAGAGAAAGTCACTTCTTTGGCTCAGCTCATTTTTGGCTGCCCCTTCCAGGGTGTTGTCAGAATACATTATTACTGTTGTATGAAATAAAATTATGGAAGCACAGAGTTCTACGCAAACTTAGCACCAACAGTTCCTGGCACATAATAGGGTCTCAGTAAATATTTGTGGAATAAGTTAATGAATCAGCCAATCAACCCATTTGCACCGTACCAGATTACTTCAGTATTCCAGCCTCTCCTTCACCCCTGCCGGTGGTGGAGAGAGTTCACTCCCTCTGAAGGCCACTCACTCCAGTTGTCAGTAAATTGAATTACTATCAAAGCCACTGTGGACTTCTGTGAGGCTTTTTCATTGTCCTGGGCAGTTAGTCCTGCTGTGCTGCCTCTTAGACATGTCTCTGTTGTAGCGTTGATCACAGTACATTTTAGAATAACTCTTATGCCTCCCTGTCTAGACTGTGAACTCCATGAAGACAGATGTGTGTCTTAGCATAGTACAGAATGGATGAAAGACTGGATGGATGGAGGGGGACAGAGAAAATGGGAGGAAAGAATAATAACAGGGAGCATATGTATTGGTTGCCAACTCAGTGGCCTAAGAGGATTGTATTCACCCTAGAAGATGTGTCAGAAACAATCCATTGGGCTTCAGGAAGAAAATTTTTAAACTATTTTCCTCTATTTGTTTTAAGCCTAACCATTTTCATTTCAATTTTTATGTGTTTTTTTTTACTACACATACTATTTTTATATAGTTGTACATGTGTTTAATTTATAAATACCCATATATTAGAAGGTACACATTCAAACACTTTCTGATGAAAGTACAGATCATAAGTTTGAAGACCCTTAGTTTGTCAGGTACTATGCTAAGCATTTGATAGACAATATTTTATTTAGCCCAGCAAAAATTCCATGAGTATATATATGGTTCCATTTTGCAGGTGAAGAAACTAGGCACAGGGGGTTAGGTGATTTGCCCAATCGTGTACAGTTGGTAAATGTAAAACTAGAGCCCAGGCTGGGTCTGTCTGGCTTAACCACTGCCCCATTCTCTTTTGTTTTTCCATCCTAGCACCTGAGGTGTACCTCAGGCTAAGTATAGGCTTGTGAATTAAATAAATAAATTGAATGGATGGCTTACTCATACTACATATTAAGGTTTTCTTAAGAAAAATTGTAAAAATGAAAATAAAATTTTCTTTTACATTGTAAAAACATGCACTGGCCATGACAAGCCCAAGTCACATACCTACTTGACACATTAGAACATTTCCTTCCATTTCTTGACAGAAGGACAAGTCACTTGATCACTGTTGAGCCCAAAGTCAAGTGACATCTTACATTCCCACCAGCAGCGCTGGGGGATTCCAGTTTCTGCATGCGCTCGCCGACACTGGTTATCGTATTATAACAATCCTAGTGCATGTGAAGTGGTATCTCATTGTGGTGTTGATCTATATTTCACTAATGACAGTGATGCTGAGCATCTCTTCTTGTGTTTATTGCTCCCCCAACTATTTCTTTTAAATTTGGATTATTTCTATTTCCCTTTTTTCTTTTCAGTGTTTTTCATTGGAATATAAATTTTGTTCATCTTCTCATGATGTCTGTTTTGTCCCAAGAACTCTCAAGGCATATTAAATACTCATGAGCTCTCCTATTAGAGACTGCATGGCCTGGGTGTAAATCAGAATGCTCATATACGATGCTAACACTTTAGCAATGTTGAAATTAACATTTGTTATCAAATTCGGTTTGGGCCAGAAAGAAAGCAAAGGTTTTAAAAATTCCACATGTCAATTCCTTCCTTGTACAGTGAAAGAAAGTTTACATTAGCCTCTAAAGATTTGTAGCACAATTCTTTAAAGAATAAATGTGCCTGACAGATTGCATGTGTAGTAAAGTCCGTGTCAATAAGAGTGTTTATTGTAGCTGTGAGGTCTTTCTGGCTTTCATACCTCACATGTTCCCATCTTAAGGTCAAATTTTATTTTATGGCTTTTATCAGCATTAGTCATGCTCGATCTTACTGTATGTTGAATGTATTTGCTCATAATTTTGACAAAGATGAAACTCATCAATTTTCTTGTACGGTGGGCATTTTAATGGGAAGTGATTTTTCTTTTCTTTTTTAAAAAACTGCTTTAAGTTTTTGTTTACTTACTCCTCAAATGCTGGCTGAGCATCACCCAGGGACAGTACAGTGGGCGTAAGACAGTCTTTGCAGCGCTCAGAGACCGCCTGTGAAGGCCAAGCCCAGCAATAACTGCAGTTGTGATCGATGCTAAAAACGAACACTTTAAGCCTCTATGTGAGCCCGTAATGTGGAAGAGCTGCCCCAGTGTGTGGTTATCAGAAAAGGCTTCCACAAGGTAGTAACATAATTTGAGACCGAAAAAACACCTCGGAGTTAGACCGCGGACGGGGCCCGGTGGACGCGCACGGGCACAGGCTCCAAGGCGGGCGTGAGCTCGATGCGTTAGGGAATCTTCGTGAAGCACACAGTGTGGCTGACACGTCAGGAGCAGAGACAAGGCGAGGCAGGAGGGCAGGCATGCTCTGAAGGCATGTTGAGGGGGTGGCCTCTGCCACTGGGGAGCCACCTAAGGGGTGAGGCTGCAGCATTTGATGGTATCCTGTAAAATTCAGAAAGGCCGTGACCTTTGCTCTGTCACTTTTTCCTCCCTTGGTCAGGAATATGACTGGAGAAACTATCAGTCCAGCCAGATGAGTGAATCCGAGTTGCAAATGCTGGCCAGCCTGCGGCGCCAACAGAGCGAAGATCTGGAGGACACCGGGGCTTCCCGTGGCCTGAGCGCATCCCAGGTCGACAACTGTAATGTCAGCATGAGTACCAGCAGCGACGACACCACCACCTGGAACTCCTGCCTGCCACCTGTGAGTCCGGGGCTTTGTGTTTCCGTTGACGGCCTTGCCTGGGAAAACCAGGGCCAACCCGAGCACACTCCCTGTGAGAAGTGCTCAGAGCTCAGTCTGAAAGAGCCTTTTAGGTGCGGAGGCATTGATTTTTCTTAAATTGTCTTAGCGAACCTCAGATAATGTATGTTCATTGTGTGTTGATGTATAAAACCATACATCGAAAGAAAAAAAGAGAAACTAATTTAACTGTAGATTCTATGTATCCCATTGCATCCCCAGCTTCTCATACAGGCCCTGGCACATAGGAGGGGTTGATATTTGTTAAATGAATGAAGAGAGGACGAGACTAAATATTCTAAATATTGCTTGAATACAAGTCAGAAAAGGCCCTTCTGTAGAATCCCTGTGCCTACGGCCTTGATAGGCACTGCAGATGCTTCAGGGCTTATAGTTATAAGCTCATACAGGTAGAGCACTTTTAATATGTCCCCGCATCCTCACAAGGATGGCAGAGGAGTTGGAGCAGGTCCCAGTCTTCCTGTTTTTTGGGTGAAGGAACTAAATCCTGGGCCCACCCTTCCACACCTGGTTGGCGTTGGACCCCAGAGCAGAGCCCAGGGTTTTGACGCAGTCCATTCTCCACAGTACTGTCCTCGAGGATCTTCTGGTTTAATGGAAACACAGGGCAGAAGCTTCGACAAAACAGTCCTGTACAGCACAAGAAATACTGTGAGGCAGAAGAATAAAATCATTTTTATAACAACGGTTATTAAGCACCTAGAGACAGTTTAAGACCTGACTAGTCATGAGGAACATTTACACATAAGGCTACGTTCAACATCAGATCAAACATATCAAAATACACTTTCGTCCAACAGTAAATGTAACTTTTTTACCAGAAGCTTTTGAAAGGAAATATAAAATTGTGTAACTTTGATTCATTTCATATTTACATAATGTATTAAAATATATAAAGATTGAGTTCAAGTGTAGTTGACAGTGGATAACTTATGTATCAAGTATTTCATTAAATATTTATTAATTTTACAGTTTTCTTTTTGAATTTTAAAGCCAGTTTTTTTCCAGTTTTCCAGATTTACATCTTGGTAAATCTTGAAAATCTCAGAGGCCCTGGCACTAGGCCTGGCAGGTGTTACCTAACTTCCTCCTTACTGCTGTCCCTTGTGGTGAGCACTGGTGCGTTCCCATTTTCTGGTGAGAAAATGGAGGCCCTGAGTACAGTGATTCAGGACTAGTGTGGCCTGACGCCTGAGCCTGAGCTCCTGACCACTGCGATCCAGTGACTTCTCCATGCATGACTCAGTTGTCATATGAGTGCTACCAGAGTCCGGCAGAAGGAGATTTCTGCTCCGGAAAGAACTTGCAGGTCTTCATGGAGGAGGGATTCAAACTGGCTCTAAGGAGGCATGTGTGGTAGGGAGAGGTGCTGCTCAGTCTTCATTAGTGTTCTTTCTCTTCCCCTCACCCACCCTGCCGGTTTCTCTTGCCTTAATTGTGCTCTCATTAAATGGAATGGCCAAGCATGCATAATGCCTGGAGCAGCCTTAGTGCCAAAGAGTATCTACCCCCCTNGTGCTCTCATTAAATGGAATGGCCAAGCATGCATAATGCCTGGAGCAGCCCTAGTGCCAAAGAGTATCTACCCCCCCCAGCAAAAACTGGTTACTCAGAGTATCCTAACAGCCAGAGCTAAAAACATCAGCGTAAGCTGCAGATTTTTGCCAACTCTGTTTACAATGGAACTGAAACATTGCCTTTCTTATAAAATATCCCTCAGCAGGCATTTAAACCAAAAGAAAGAAAGAACAGTGGCCTCCTGAACAAGCTCATTCTGTCACAGAGTAGCTCGGAGACTAGCATTATAAAGGGCAAGCTGAGGAATGATGATTTATGGACTGAAAGGCTGACCTCTTGGTTGCCCTGGATACAGTGTTCTCATCACTGGCCTGTCTGGCAAGGACTGAAGTCCTCATGCATGACAACCACTCCTCTCAGCCACAGACGTCATTGATAAGGAACTTAATAACCTCTCTATTTGACCAAATGAGAAATTGAAAACAGTCTATTTCTTAGACAGAGAAAATAATTGAAAAGCCTAGCTTTGGTATTCATAAGATATGTTTATTACGGCATCAAGTTCAGTCTATTTCGATACTGGAGCGGTCACCAAATGGAAAATTGCATTCCTTAATGAACGCGTGCACCTTGTTGTCCTAGAGAGTCTAAATAGAGCAGCTTACAAGGACCGCTGTGGGCTTGCTGAGAGCTCACGCCTTTCTCTCTAGAAGCTGTACAGGGGCCGTGAAAAAGAAACAAGAAAAGAACTCACAACTTATCACAATAATATCCCACTTTTCTTGTAGCTCGGTGATGGTGCCACCATCCATGCTGGCGCTCAGACCAGAAATTTGGAAGACATTTCCCACTCCTTCATTGTCCATGCCCAACTGGTCTCCATGTCCTGAGTGTCCTCTCTTCCTTTTACCTCCTAACCCTCCCTACATGTACCGTAACCTTGGCACTTTAAATAACCTTGGAGTTTATGCAGATCCTTTCAACAGCCTCTGTACCTCCAGTGCAAGCAATAGCCTGATGGGTAGGAGCATCTACTCTGAAGTCAGATTGCCAAGGCTCACATCCAGGCTATGACCTTGGAAAAGCACTTGGCACTGTATCTAAGACATAATAAGCATTTAATAAGTTAACATTAGTGGTCATTTTCATTATCATTATTATTAACATTAGTGATCTTTCTAAAGCCCAAACCTGATTTTATCTCTTCCCTACATAAAGCCCTTTCATAATCCCCGTTCCCTCTTTAGTGTGACCTACAGGGCCCCCGATGATCTGAGAGCTGCCCCCCTCTGATCTCATCTCTCACTGCTCCCCACCTTTCACTCCATGCTTTAGTCCCAGTTGTGATTCCCTAAATGCACTCTACACATATCCTTGTACCTTGTACCTGTTTATCCTACAAGACTTGGCTCCACAGTCTTCTGAAGCCCTTCTCCGGGCCTCACTGTGAGATACATACTTTCTTTTCCTTTCTGCCACTAGAGCCAGGAATCTCTCTATGATGGCTCTCCACAACCTAGCTCATCTTTCTCATGTTAATTCATTTCACATTTTGTTTTGAGTGGTACAGCATGCTGTGGACCATGCTGGGGATACAAATAAAGCTTTACCCAGCCTTGAGATGTTTACCAAATTGGAGGGAAGCAGAGAGTCCAGCTCACTGTCCGTCAGGGTAGTGAGTGATGATAGAGTAAAGAGTTCTGGGAACAAGCGAGAGGCACCATTAATTCTACCTGTTGGTTTCAGAGATGCTTCACAGAAACAGGTACAGCTAAACCAGAGTTTAAGAATGAGTGCAGCCCTGGCCAGTGTGGCTCAGTGGTTAGAACTTTGGCCTGAGCACCAAAGGGTCAAGGGTTAGATTCCCGGTCAAGGGCACGTACCTGGGTTGCAGGTTCGATCCCCTCATGTGGGAGGCAACCAATCAATGTGTGTCTCTCCTATCAATGGAAAAAATATCCTTGGGTGAGAATTAACATAAATTAATTAATTAACTAATTAATTTTTTTTAAAACAGAGTGAGTGCAAACTCACCATGTAGAAAGGGAGAGAAGGGAATTCCAAGTTTGCAAAGCGACAGAAGTAAATCTGTGGAGGTGAGGGTGGAGCCTCTCCTTCAACAAGGTAACCCATCACCTTGAACCAGACTTGAAATGAGCTTTCTCTTGTCTCAACATCACCACCCACCTGCCACCCAACATGCACACAGAACTAAGCGCTCCGCTCTGGCTGCACCGCGAGCTCGCCCTGCCTCTCTGGGAGCATGTCAGTCATGCCGCTGCTCCTGCTCCCCCTGTGCCTGGGGACCCCCCATCCCCTTCTCCTCAGCACCCCTTGTGGCCCAACTCCGACGCCACTGCTTCACGAAGCCCTTCCGACCCTCGGCCACCCTGCCCAGAATTATCTCCTCCTTCTCTGGGTTCCTGCCACCTCCGGGCTCAGTGACAGCACCTACATCAGGGTGCCATCATTCCGAGCATCCCCCAGACCCGGCCGGGAGCTCCGTGCAGGCAGGACCACACTGAGCGTGAGCCTGGCTCAGGGTCACACTCGGTCCCTGCTGGTTGTTAGTCACTGGTTGAATATTCAATCAATAGTATTAAAAGATTGCTTTTTTTACCCTAAAATAAGGTAGTGTTATCAAATTTTCAAAATAAGTATGAGCTTTTCTTTGCTTAAATAAATCCTGAATGATGCAGGTAGTATTTTACATTCCAGATTTGACAAATGGGTATTATATATACACATAAAGGAAAAAAGCTCCCTCTGGACAGGGCTTAATGACCAATAGTTTAAGAAGGAGATTTAGTCTGGTCACATTCTGTTTAGCATCTTTACGTAAGGACTTCACACACGGTGCAGTCTGGAACCAGAAAGCCCACAGGGTAAAATGAAGTCTTAGCAAATTCTATTGTGTTTACTCAGCTTCCCTCAGCCTCTGTACAGTTCAGAGCAATATGTACTGTTTAAAAGGCGTTTAGATGTAGTAAATTAGTCATTTAAAAGTGTAGTTAAATGTAATCTTATTTCTCATAGCAGATTGACTTCGGTTGGCATCTCATGCTAAATAAATCAAGCCTGCTGAGAAATCTACTGGCCTTTGACAGATAAATTTTTCAAAGTTTCTTAGAACCAAATTCAGTTAAAACAATACTTTACAACTACAGGTAATCAGTTTTGTAGGGTTTCTGTTAGGAGTAGTCCTCATGAGATTTAGTCATAAACTGGGCCCCAGGCAAGCATTGGGAGGGGAGCTAGGAGTTGGTTACAATGGGAGTTTTAAGTGAATTTTATTTTGGTGAGGGATTTTGATTGACAGTAGAACAAAACCATATCGTGTGTGTATGTGTGTGTGTGTTTCTTTTTAAGAAAAAGGATAGTTATTAATGGAGACAGCTTCATGTGGTGACCAAAATATAGACTCTGCATCAGCCAACCTGGGCTCATACCCAGCTCTGCCATTTACTGGCACAATCACCTTTACAATGGGAATGATACAGAGCCTTCCTCAGACTGGCACAGTGAAAACTGAATGAGAGCATGGAATGCATGTGTCCTGCACCTAATAGAGGTAGCTCAGGCTAACTATACTCTGATGCTCCCCAAAGTGATTCTTCTCAAAGGGCCACTTGTGTGAGCAGAAATGATTTCTAGGCCATCTCCCTTTTTTATGACCACTGAGGGCTATAAGGGTGGGCAGAGGTTCTGTTGTTCTACTTGTACTGTGAGCTTAACCATTAGAATCCAGACAGGCCCCCTCAGACCTTTACAAATAAATTATTTCATTATTTAGTATGTCTCTGTCCCATCTCTAACCTAGATTCCAGAAAAGCCTGCCTCACATGCATCCTGCCCTGTAAGCAGATGCCCCAAAGCCACCATTCCTTTGAGTTAGAAATTCCCATAACCTAAAAAAAAAAACAAAAATAAAAAAAAAAGAAATTCCCATAACCTAACACCAAGTACATTAGTCCCTCAGCTGGTGTAAAAATGAAGAAACTCATCGCATGCAGCCATCAAATGGCACATTGCAGAGCATATTTGGAAGAAAACGAGGCAAAATGCAGTTAATAAAATTGCAAGCATATGGTGAGGTTCTCAGACAAGTTATTTACGGTCTTGATTAATCTTGCAACATTTTTGCCATTTTTATAGGTTTTTACATAACAACATGAAAATATTTTCTTTACCTTTTAACATGACAGGATTATCTTATCTCCTGTTCTTTTAGTTAGCCTTTCCTTCTCTCCCTCACCCCCAAATTTCTAGCTGCTTGATCGTGGAAAAGCAAAAATTCTTTTGTGCTCAGTGGTAGTTAATTTTATGTGACTGCCGGTTTTCCTGACACTAGTGCAAAGCAACAGCGCCACCAAAAGGACGAGGTCCCGAGTTTCTTGGATCCCTTCCATTTCTTTGCCCATCAGCATATCAGCATTTTACATGATGACTGCTGGCTGCTGTGTGTCCGATATATAATATATAATACATTGGCGTTTCAGGCCCTCATAGGTCTCAATGTGTTCTGATCTACAGATTCATTAACTTCTCAGCTGTCTTTAGGTGTAATGAGTTTTCTTTTAATTCTCCCAAACTAAAAAGGTAAGTAGTTGATTGTGCTAAGCTGCCGGATGTCTTGTGCCACAATAGAAGTGATACACGAAAACTGACATTAGAGTCAGTGCAGTATCTGAGCCGTCGGGAGAAAATACTGAAACGTGCGAGACGTTCATGTTCAGTGACTTTGAAAGTCACCTTGTGAAATAAACTTTCCTCATCCTCAAAGTATTGTCTATTACATCTTATATTTGTCCCAAATTTAGCAATGTAGCAAAACTTATTTTCTTTAAATATAGAGTAGCATATCATAAGAATGAAATCAAGTGAATTTAATTTATGGTAAGGAGGTAATCTTATATATTTCAAATAAATGTATTTCAGAACCACTTCTTTTTTTTTCCTGGTGTAAACTGAACTGAGTTTGGCATATTTGTTATTCAAAAATTTAGATATTTGGCACTGCAGGTGAACCCCAGCTGGATTAAGGACCATACTCTAGTGGTTTGAGGGTAGGCTGAGGTCAGACGGCCTCGTTTCAAATGATGGCTCCACTGTTTCCTGGCTGGCATGCCCCCCAGCTTCGTGCAGCCTCACTGGCACCTTCCCCAACTGGGCCGTTAGCAGTGGGGCTGATACGTCCATCTGTAGCCGCTACGTGTGTAAGTCAGAATGCTCTGCCACGCTGTGCTGTTATTAAGTTGGTCATTGAATAAAATATTTTTGAGTAACAACTTGGTCATTAGTTTTCAATAATACAAATTAAGGAATCAGCTATTCAGACCAACTTACATTGCCTGCAGTTATTTCAAGTGAATATTTTTGTTTGCCTTTCTATCTATTCATGCCTATAATCCTTACTACTTTGAAAAGTTCCCAGCGGTTTTTTGTTTTTTTTTGGTTTTTTTTTTTGGTCTTCTAACACTTAAAAATCATTATAAGTGTGAATCTTTTATTAATTATGTTCCCTTTTATTCCATGTATCACTGGATCTATTTGATATAAACATGAGCAGGCATGGAAAGGGCCACGCTGTGCAGCCTGAGTGACAGCTGCATCGCAAACGAGATAGGATTCTGTAGCCATCTCTGGTCTCCAGAGCACGGAGTAAGGCATTTGAAATAAGGGAGTAGAATTAATGTATAAAATTAAGCAAATAGAAATCTGGCTGAATATGAGGACTGTGATGCTTAGAGAGTTATGGAAGTGCCTCTGAAAGTAATAGGCAGAGGTCCACTCGCTGGAGGCCCGAGTCCGGCTGAACGCTGGGATACCAGGTTTTATCGAGAGGATCTCTGCCCCAGTGTGAGTTGGTCTAGAGAACCTGTTAGGCACTTCGCGTGCTAATCCTTTTTTGCTGCGAAATAATAAAGCCTAAGTCATAGAACTAAATTTCACTTGCAAATTGCTAAAAGCCTTATTTCTCTAGTGAGATCAAATACGTCTTATGACATGCTTTTCCTTCCACTGGTCTCCCAGTGGTTTCTTATTACTGAAATGGTGATGCATTGATATTGGTTCAATTACCAAAGTATCTGAGCACATTTAAATTCATGGTGCATCACGGAGAGTCCTGCTAAGTGGCTGTGATCATCATATCGGGTGTTTGATTTAAATTAAAGGAACACTTCCAAGACATTATTTATAGAGGAAGAATTCCCATCACCCATGTCATTAATATTTTAGGACCCATTAAAATAAGGAATATGTGGAAAATAAGCAATGTATGCTCTATATGTACAGGCACCATGGCCACAGAGTTTTTCTCGGTTGGTGTCAGTGCTATGGGGTCATGTTATGGGTGAGAAACATTAACGCCCCCCCACTGGGTAAGGAACTAACTGCAGCGCCTTAAGTGCATTTCAAAAATATATACCAAATTCTAGCTCATAATAAAATGAGAATGTTAAAAATTATTTTCATATTCAATCACATGGTCGTTAATCACAAAGGAAAAATACTTTGAGCTGATGTTAGAAAGCAGAATTTGTATGAGGTCTAAGGGAATTTTTTCCTATCTAGAACAAATGAAAAACATCAAATTCCAATGGAGGCAAGTTAAGCCTTACATGGGATGTGGTTGTTTTGAAATAGACAGTAACTTCAAGGTTTCTTGTTGAGGGGGGCGATTGAGATTCCACATTTTTGTTGGGTATTGGCATCGCCTTTTTCAGCTCATTGATTGATGCTTGAGGTTTTATTATATACACTTGGGGAAAATGACCACCTTGATCTAAGATTTACATGTGTAATTCCATTAATGAAGGTGGAAGTTCTCCTTGCAAACTGAGCAACGCTGAGATATAAATATATATTCTACATGCCCCATCTCTAGGTTATTGCCTGTACTTGCTATGCAGCATTAATTCAACAAGATATCTTGTTTTGTTTTGCTGTATCTGGGAACATCAACCAATGTTAACAACATAAAGTCCCGAGAGGAGGAAGATTCCTCCAGGATCTTTGATTACACCAGCGATGCCCTCTCGTCCAGTGACCAGCCGTTAAAATGACCTGTGTTTTCTCATAAACGTCACCTTGTTACTAGCTTGATCTCCCAAACAGCCTTCAACTCTTCTATAAAATAAGCTAGCCCCTTCTTGCAGATTGCTTCTCAGGGGGAAATTGCAGTGAGAGTGCCTGTGAGAGTATATGTAAAGCACATGATGCTGATTAGTGACTCACAGATGTTTTGTCTCTTACAGCCTGTCAACCAAGGTCGGCACTATCAGAAAGAAATGAACCCACCTTCTCCCTCTGACCCCCGGTAAGAATCATTAATAATCTAAATTCCTTGTTCAAAGATTCATTAGAAGGTTATGCATTTTTCTTGGTTTCATGAAATTGTTTTTTCAAAACATCCAAAGAACTTTCCCAAGTTATTTCTCTTTTTTAGAAGTCTTAGTTCAGTCTACTTTTCTTATTCAGACTGTGGTGTAGTGGTTAACAACATCTTACCTGCGTTTAACTAGCACCCCTGCCTTTTACCAACTGTGGGACATTGGGCAAGTCATCTAACTCACTGTCAGGCATCATAATTTCCTCATAGTGTTTTGGGGAGAGTCAAATGAATGAATACATGAAAAATTCTTAGCACAGTTCCTGGCACATAGCAATACTTTCTTTAAGTATTAATTTATTCATTATTACTCTATTTGCTTATATAGAGTTTTAATAGGTATTTGATGTTTAGTACATTTTAGGCATAAATCTTTTTTATCTTACCTGGCACCTTTAAATTTATCAAAATAGCTTTACAAGGTTAAGTGGCTGTTCTCTTCTTTTGTCATGTCAGAATTTCATAATCTCAAAATTATTTCATTATTCTAAAAATGTCATGACATATGAGTCATTTGTCGATATAGAAAAACCTCATTATTTCAGGCTCATTAGGGACAAGGAAATCTGAATTTCAGTTTCAAAATACATGTAGTATATGGCTTTCTAATAAATAGCTAAATAAGCTAGTGTTTCTATATAAATCAGTATTACTTTATTACTATTTATTGTATATTAGGAATTTATTAAAAATCAGCCCATCTTGAGCTTCACACACAAGGTCTTAGTTATTTATAATGCATCTCTTATCCAAATGCATCTTATTATCAAGCTCTTTCACCTGTACTGTGGTTTGTCCCATGGTATGGGCCAGAACACCGACCATAGCACATCGCTCTGGCTCCCAGGTATCTACTACAGAGTGTCTGAGTTAGACTCATTGATTGCACGTATCAAAAACAACTTAGCTAATATTAAAAGAGACAGACAGACATACAGACAGGAGAGATTTGTGCAATAAGAATATAGGCTATCTTCTGGCACCCAAAGGCAACCAGTTCTCAGGAGGAGCCTGAAACTTGCACCCTCCAGTCGGTGTCATTCCTCCCTGAGCACCAGCTTTCTCTGCTTCCCAGTCACACGGCTGTCTGACAGCTCTTGAGTTTACATATTACAATTCAAAATACATGCTGAAGCTGGCAGGCTAGGAGAATGTGATGGATGTAGCTTGGGCCAAGTAACCACTTCTGGTCTGATCAGCAATGAGCGGCAAATCAGAGGCATGCAAAGCTCACATGGCTGCCAGGGGACCACCCACACAGTTTACAGAATATTCATGACATAGGTAGAGTAAAATTCAGTGATCTCTTCTAAGCATTCCTGGTCTATACACTTGATCTGGTCATTTTTTCATGTTATCTAGTAGGGGGAATTTTCACTACCATAAATAAATACAATAATAGGTTCAAAAGTGAGATTGTAATTCTAGTATATGTAAAAGGTGTTTTAACATAGTGAAAATCAATTATCCCTTGATATGTGAATATGTCCCCTGCAATCATGCAGCTCATCTAGATTTGACTAACAAACTCTTCTTCTATATATGAGTAAACTTTCAAGGTAACTGGAAATCCAACTTAGGTCCAAATTATAACAAAGTCACAATTTGCAGTCTGAACAAATGAAAGTGATAATAAAACATATTAAAAAGTAGAACCTTTTGTTTCAGTAAAAGGAGAAAAGGACCCTAATTCTCATCCTAATTCTGCTGCCAACCCAGTAAATGATCTCAGACAAGCCTCTCAATCTGTCCAGTCCTGGTCTAATAATACGAACACTCTCATGTGTCATAGAAAGGATTTGAGTTACATGCTCTTGGAAGTCATTCCAAGCTTTAGATTCTATGACTTCGATGACACTCATTATACATGTTACATATGAAAACCAATTCCACTATTGAAGGGAACACTACCCTACACAGAAAACATTCTTCATAATATTGGATGAATTAATTAATACTTAGATGTGGTAGTATGTGACTTTAAATATCTCATTTAAAATTTAATTCTCAAAGATAGAATATAAGAAAATTCACTAACTAGATAGTATATTTTTATTTAACCAATTAAATGTTCATTCATTTAAGAAAAATTAATTTACATTTTTACATGATAAAATTAAAATCCAAATTCTAGAGCAGTACATAAAATGCCATTGATCCCATTTGCCAGCAGGTTATCCACCAGTTCTCTGGAACAGTATTATATAGCTGTTCAGGAAACCTGAAGATTGCATTGCTTGGCTCTTGGCTCATAAATTCAGCAGCTTGGAGAACTGGCAGAAAGGCATTATTAGGCCATAAATAAAAAAGATGATAAAATTACGAGGTCAGCGTAGATCATCATATAAAATGGGATAAATTGAATCATGTAATACACATAATGTAATAAAATTGAAAGCTATGATTCTTCTTAAGATTTGTATTTGTTATATTTCTTACAAATAGTATACCTTGTTTTAGACTCTAAAATACAAAACTTTAAAATTAAATTTTAAAGTTAAAAGATACTGATAATGAAGATGAGAAAAAATATTTTAAAATGAAAAGATAAGTCTCTAAGTCTGCCTCCGGATAAACAAGCACCTAACCTGAATCTTGGACTGAAAGTTCAGCGCACAGAGGCCCTGAACAAAAATGAAAAGCAGGGGGCTCTGATCCCTGAGTTAAGTGTGGCTGTGATCACAGCAATGCAACCCAGATGGTGACGGGGACTCGAGCATGTGCAGGTCCTTCGAGAGGAGAGCAGACGATGCCTTTGGGAGCTGAAATGGCCAAGTTAGCTTCGGTGAAATATCTGCACTACCCAGAGACCTAAGATTTTTAAAGTATATAACTCATAACCCACATCCATACTTATTGAGAGTCAACTTTCAATTAGCTTCATTAATGTAACAGAACAACCATATCCCCAAAGTCTTTCATTTACATTTTATTCCGAAAAGATTTTTATTTCTCAAACATGATTAACTTCATAGTTTTCTGCATTTATGATTAAAGTTACAGATAGTGTGCATCCACAAAGCAGGCAAATTTGGGTTTTGGAGAGTTGACTAGGATGAAAATAGCTAAAACTCTGCATATATTCATACATTGTTTTCCTCAGAGTAAAAGAATTCACTTACACTCAGGGCGGTGCGCTTGCCGCTGGGTAGAGGTGAGACCCAAAGGTAACCGCTGCCTGAGTGTTTACAGTCGAGGAATTGAAATACTCAGGGTTCGCCTCATCATAATCCCTCGCGTGTCTAGATTTCCAGCAAAGCCCTTTCCCCCTGCATTGTGAGGCATGCGTGTGATATTTCCCACTGTTTTTTCCTGACGTACTGACTGACATTTAGGCAGCATCTCAAATGCTGGGCCCTTGCCTCCCGTGTCCACCCACATTGCCTTTTGGGGCGCCGACAGCCTCAATGACAAGGTGCAGAAATGGCTAACATCATCTAATACAATTTAGAGGAGTGCTGGGTAGGAGGAGACAATTTCACAGTTCATTCATGTCGAGAAGTGTTTTCTAGCAGGTGAACTCACTGCCAGATGGAGCAAAATGGATGCTGTTTGCAGCCTTAAGTCATTTATTTTGAAAGGCCTTCTCTTGGTTTGTGAGGTTTAGAGCTGTGCACATCTATGTTTGTGTTTATGTAGATTCTTCAGAACAGCTCAAGGTATTTTTACTCAGAAGTGGGTTTTTATAAAATAAGCTGTGATTACTTTCTAGTTGTCTGTTTATATGGATGGAGTCAATAACTAATCTTTCGAATGATGACTATACTTGCTATTTCTACAACTCATTGGAAAATTAGGGGGAAGAGGGAAGGTAGTCTAAGGCTCTGTAGGGTTCTAAATATTCATGGAAATAATATAAAAGATAATTCCGGAATGCCCAGTAATGAATGGCATGGTTTTCTAAAGTGTTTGCTTTATGATTTATCATCTATCTGTATTTTTTTTAATGTCAGTGCAGATTGTGTTAGGGCTTAATCCTTTGCAGCTTTACCACATGTTTTGTGATATAAATGTACTTATAACTATAATTATCTGATAAAGCCCTGCAGACTTAGACAGATGATTAATAGCCGCTGACCTCAGCTCCCGCTGGCTCAGCTGGCCTGGCTGAGGCAAGCTGGCCTGTCATCATAACCTACCAGCGCTGCTCTGGATTGATCACAGCGGCTTCATTTTTCTTTTCTCTCCAGTTGTCGGGACTCAGCCTGATGGGCTTCTCCTCTAGGGCTTACGTTTTTGTCCCACCAACACAAATGAGAGGAATGTATAAGTAAATGAAATGAAATACAGAAATTGCATGTCCTGTTTCTCTTCAAATGATTAAAGTTGAATCATTTTAAAACAAGTTGGGTTTTTAACAAATATTTCTCCTTCAGAACAAAACACAACATGGAAGTTCCTGATTAACTGTGATAGATGATAGATAGATAGATTATAGATAGATAGATGATGATATAGATACATAGATAGATAGATGATAGATGATAGATAGATGATAGATAGATAGATAGATAGATAGATAGATAGATAGATAGATAGATAGATAGATACATAGATACATAGATAGAGATATAGATAGCCAGAGAGACAAAGCCTGTGGTGCTGGGTCCCTCTTAAACTCAAGTGACTCCATGCACCTCCTGCTCCCAGAGGGGTCTGCAGTCCACTGGTCTAACCTTTCCAACAGGCTTTGAAAACTCCTGGTACAAAGAGATTCAGCTGCGCCCCTTTCTTCCCCAGTTTATAGCAAAGGCCAGGCTCAGATGGCTTCTCTAGCCCTGCCCTAGAGAAAACCCAAGCTTAAGACACCCCAGTAGCAAACCAAGTCCCTCAAGAATCATCCTGCTCCTCACCTCTGACAGCCCTGAACCTAGGACCATGCCCTGCACAACTTCAGAGGCACCATTTCCATTGGGTTTCATGGGACC